GAAGTCTCAACGGAAGAAGAGAAATGAATTGAAGCTTATTTATCTTCTCCAATTGAAATGTCAATCAACCCAAAGTATATTATAACATATATTAGTAGTCAAATGAAGCCAAATTATAAATAGACAAGATCTTCCCACATCAACAAAAGTCAAATATCTAGTCATGCATCTCAACTAGTGTTTATACGAAAACCGACATTTAAAAAAACCAGTTTTCGAATCTCAACTTTTCTACAAAACCGGTTTAAACCGGTTTTCGAATTTTCACTCAAAAATTCTTAATTATTAACTACAACAAAACAAAATTTACGGGATAGAATAAATAACTATAAAATATTATTTATCTTAGAAAAAATGTTTTTAAAAAGGAAAGAAATGTCTACACACCTGTTTTTCAAAAAGGTCCATGTTTTGCAAACTATGGCTAGATTTTCTTATTTCGGATTTTTTTATCCTCGAAGATCCATATACTGAACCTCTGTCCATCTGTGATGAACGAGCGCCATCGAGCTGCAATCAGCGAGAGGGCTCACAAAGGGCCTGGCTTGACCAGGATTTGAACCTTTGCCCACTACATGTGTGTAGGGCGACTTAACCATTCGGCTATTAGTCGCCCTTTTTATTAATTTGGATACAATTATTTATAATATTTGTCCAGATCAAATTTTTTGAAGCTTGTGGAAATATATGCTGGACATCCAAACATTTTGTGGATTTTATAAATAAAGGAGTAGTGTTAGTAGTCCCGTTTGTCTTCTCTATTGATTTTGTGTCTCCACAGTTTTCAAATTTTTCAGTTCAAGTAGCAGAAATTCCAATATGACTTCACTTATTAATATTTGTATCGTAAATTATATCTTATGTTTCTTTCTATCATGGCCTCTAAACTTTTTCATCTCGTTTGGCAAGAAAGAATAAATTGTTCCCAATTTTCTGTTTATTTCATGAAACATTTTTACATTTTAAGTCTAAGCTGAAAAACAGGTTTTCTTCAAAATCGGTTTTAGAAAACCGAATCTTAAAAACCGACAAACCCTAATTTCAACAGAAAACTCACCTTGAATGATCACATTCAGACTAAGAGGGAGCAAATATAAATAAAATATATATATATATACTTATAATGTGGGATGCGGAGAGTAATTTGAACATACAAATTATACAAAATCAAAATGCCTTAGAAATATTATCAGGGCTCCATGGTTCGTCAGGAATAAACAAAGTCACGACGATCTTTATATAGATATGGTCGAGGATATAATACCAATATTTAGTAGTAGATACCAAGATAGACTGGAGTCACATACCAATGTTCTGGCTATTCGACTACTCGACAATAGTAAAACAATATATAATTATAAATGTTCAATATCATCATAATAGTAAAGATCTACCGGGAAAGATTAATTTTATTCATTGTTCACATTGAACAGATTGTAAATAAAATTATTACGACATAAAAAATGCGGTTTTAAAGTCCTCGATTAATCCGGTGATATATTTTTTGTTATACAAAACTTCTAACTGTGATTTTATAACAACATAATGAAAATAAAGTTGTATGTTGGAAATAATTAATAAAATGGAAAAATAAGTAGTAGTAGTAATATATGATAAATTTATATTTAAATCTTTTGCTTAAATGAAAAGTCAATAGTCGTGTCGGACTAACAGACCGTGTCTACCAATAAAAATTAAACGTTTAGACTTTCGCACGCACCGCTGCGAACTGAAGTTTATAATGACATTTTACGAAGGTACTGCAAAGGTGAATGCCATAAAGTCACGGGTTTTCCCGCTCTGTGTGTGTATTTAGACAGGGCTTTACAGAGAACTCGTGCGTCTCCACTGTTCACTTTATTTATAGTTAATTACAAAAAATACAATATAACTACAATTTTAATAATATTATTTATAATAGTTTATAATAAAATTTTTGTTAACTTTTATATTAACTTATATTTACATAATTTTCCATGTTTTCCATTCGTTGGATAAAAATACTTTGTTCGAAATGGACCAATACAAATTACTAAATAATTAATGTACATTCATAATAAATTGTAAAAAATCTTGGAAAATATTTCTATATTCATTGATATACCCTTTATTTTCAGAAATAATTATAAATTTTAATAATTTTGTCTAACAAGAATAGATAATATTGATTATTTTTAATTCATTGGAAGATATTCTGTTATAGTCTATAAAGTCATGTATTCAACGGTTGCATAATTAGTGGAGAACAGTGTTAGAAAACACAATTTGTTTTGTATTCTAACAGTTGGATTTGTTTCAGAGTTTAATACGTTGTCTAGAACATTGTTTGATGTTTAGACCGAGTTGTTGAGCAGTTCATGTGCACATTAAGCACAATGCTTATACTCAACGAAGTGTATTCTCGTTAGTGAACTTTATCGAATTAATAATTTCTAAACTAAATTCAATAAAGTTTATTTAAATAAGATAAACTCTCTATATGTAATATTAATTTATATTGCATGGTTTTACTACTAATTATTTTCACTAATAAAAATAATACATAATGAACAAACAATAAACATTTTGTATATGATTTTTTCTAGTCGTTACTTTTACTTTTTGTTATATAATAATAACTCGCATAGTGCGGGTAATCGGTTCCGACAATATCGCGGACTGTTTGAAACCATCTAATCCAGAACTTGAATATTGCATAAAAATAAACCTGACGCAAAGAGATTTAAAAAAATTATATTACTATAATTTGGTTGTTTTGAAATTTGAAACCGGATCAAACCAATATCTCACGTATTGTTGTATTTTTTTTGACTAAATTCATATATTTTAAATCCAATATAAGAATATCCAAATAAATAATTTCATTTGAATTGAGATATCAATAAATTAAATTAATTATGTTAATAATTTTAAATTAAGCCATTAACTAGTTATGAGGATACAAAAGTTTTATTGCTGATGGTGTCTGTCAAATCTAAAAGTTTGGTCTTTAAATTATGTATTATTCAAATATTAACGGTATATTTTCAACTTTTAATGCAGTTACCAAACTAACTCATTTATAATATCATCTCCATTTAGTAGTCAAATCTATTAAATAAGTTATGTGAATTTATATATTCTTTACATATATAATGCATGTTATTCCAATCATTTTGATAATAGTTTAACAACCCAAAGACTGCCACTAAACCACTGCATCTAGCACTGAAATTCAATTTGTTGTAATTAAGGGGAAAGTGGGCAACAGGCGATAACCAATCAAATTTGCAAACTACTATATAAATTATTTAATGTTTTTGTTATCAAATATTAGTGTAAATAAAATTGAACATGAAAAATTAATATTATTATCAAAATTTCAATATTTTATGATTCATGATATCTATAAAGACCTTCTTAAAAATATTAAAAATAATGAAAACAACAAATTATAAAGATTTAAGCTTTTAGTTAAATGTTGTACATTTGTTTTGTTGTAACTATAACCTATTTAATATCTTATATAATATATTTGAATTATAATGTTAATATAATCAGTTTATCCGCTTATGCTGTATATACTGTACATATGACTTTAATGAATGATCAACATTCACGTTTTTATAATTAACTCTGAATGTAGCTAAGATAAAATGTGGAAGTATTGGAGAAGGGTAAATAAAGAGAGAAAAAAGTAGTTGATGAGGCAAGTCTTTTTCGATTTCAAGTAATTTACTGTTCGGCGCTTTCGGAAATCATGAAATGTAAATATCGATAATGAAGAGAGGACGTTCGTCTGATCTCATAAAATTCTGAAATGATGTTTCGATTCCCGGATGATCGCAATGTTAGTTAGATTATAAAACTATTCACGAAATGAGCGAAAAAAACCTCTTTGCTTCGGTAAAAGGAAGGACGGAAAGGAAAGTAGGGCAGAGAGAGGAGTGGAATAAAGCAATCATTCTCGAGAAATTTATTTATGCAGGCAATGGGGTGGAAAGCGATTACAGATTCGAGGTTTCTTTAAAGCCGTTGAGGCGGATTAGCCAAATCTGTATTATTAGCTGCTGTAAGTGGATGCGCATCTCTCTTGCAACGGGAATGGATATCCAATCATGCTGGATTTTCAGTCCGCCTTTGTTCCAGCGCATTTGCCGCTTGTGTAAACAGATGTCTCTAGTTTAATCCCAGAAGTACTTCGCTCCAAGTTTTAAACTTAAAACGAGAAAGAAAGAAAGGCGGAGAGAGAAAAAAATATCCGACGGAGACTACTTCCTTTCAAGTGGAGCGAAATGCTGTATTTCGCCCGAGACTTCAATAAAGATAATAGATTCGGCCCGAAAATTTCGTTTTAATAACAATTTTTCGTCCCACATGTCTGACGTGGCTTGAATTTCATTAGATGCTTTGCGTAATGTAAATTTTTAAATCCGCGTAATTTACATAAAATACGAAGTGTTTCGAGCGGTGCTGCTTCATTTTTTTTCTGTATTTATATATTCTTTACTCTCTTCTTCTCCCTCTTCGTTGCATGCAAATATGTTATGTAACTTACATAATGTAAGTTACACCAAGATAATGGAGGCCGGGCGGATCGCTTAAAGCGTGGACGGAGGTCCATTATTGTTGTATTTTCTGAGCGACGCAAAAGCATGTCGAGATTTATCTTTGTTGGTCTTGACGCCGAAATGGCGCGTCTTTTAATTGCACTTTTTTTAATTAATTTAATGGACACACAGTTTCTCTCAAATATATATAATTTTTTCTTTCATTTGCCACGTTTTAAATCTGTCTCGAAATGTATTTTTCGCGTTAATTATTTCTCGAATCTGGCGGAATTGTCGAATGCACATTTTTTAAGTCGCCCTAACCGTTAGCACGAACTTCCGCCTCGGGAAATTTGCATATTTGCTGAAAATTTACCAAACTCGTTAAATCTCTGTTTGTTTTTCGTTTTTTTGTTCACTACATACATACACATTTATTTATTTTGTGATAATCTTGTTCTTCTTTTACAGTTGTTATCCGGTAATACGAACACATATACTGTGGTCGAGCAGAAGTTAGATCCTCCAATTATCGCAACGAAAATCCGCATGCTTCCATACAGCGATCACGTCAGAACAGTTTGCATGAGGGTGGAACTAATAGGATGCAAATGGACAGGTAAGAATATCAAAACCGTTCCATGAGCAAACACAAACATAAATCGCTCGCATCCATTCCTCTCGAAACTTCTTCCCATAAAAATGCCTCCAAGAAGTTATTTATTTTATGATCTGGATATAGGTATATATAGTATGGACAAGGCAATGGTAAAAGGAAAGGTACGGCTTTATGAACGGCCGTCCGAGATTCATGGGGAATTTAATATATTGCCATTTTCTGTTGGATGTATTTTTATCCTCGCATAAATTGCCGAAGTGTGATTGTTTAAAGCCCATCCAAAAACATTACATGATGCTATTAAAAAAATAACACTTGCACAAAAATATATTTGAATATATTAAAAAGGTGAAACATATACTTTTATACATTTTATCCACGTTTTATATTAGGTGGATAAATTATGTGAAGGCTTTTATTAGATGGGAGCGAAAAATGGGTGGAATGTATAGTCGCGTTACAATAAACTTTAGAATGGAATTTACTACTTACTTAGACAGGTAATTTACTATTGTCTCTTAATGGAATAATTAACTGAATGGAGACGTGTATATTTGCTTTAACTTTGTAGCTCTGTGCCTATTTGAGGAGTAATGTTAGCTCTCGCTGTGTAAATTCCTTAACCTGTAAGCTTGAAAAATCCAAATTGACTAAAAGACATAGACTGACAATTACTATTATTATTATTCATTACAAACTAAATTAAATGTCTTATTCCATAAAATACACTAATTATCTAAAATATTCAATTATTATTTGTTTAAAATTTAATATTGTACATGTAATTACTGTGTAATTAGATTTAGAGCATATGTTGAATTATTAATCTGTTATTGTTATTTTTTGTTCTATTGTTCTACTAATTTTCATTGATTATTCCAAATGTTTCTTTGGGTGTTACCAAGGAAGAACAAGTTTTCAATTTGATTATGAAATTACTTATTTTTTTTTTCTTTTGTCACATGATAAATATTTAGAAATATATATATTTGGACTAAAATAAAAAATTTTGTTAATGAAAACAAACACTATACTTAAATAAAAAATAATATAACCGTCATACATAAATAAATAAAAAATGAATACAGCAATAATTGTTAGAGTCCGGGTTTCGCCATTATCCAATATTGTTTCAAATCGGACTAATCGAGGAATATAAAACCGCACAATAATAGACATAAGTCTGATTGATCAAAGTCTGAGATTGTTTTTTGAGAATATTAACAAATTATACATTTCAATACCATTTTACATTTGTGTACAATTTAAAATAAATAAATTTGAATAAATATTACAGAAAAAAAAATGAGATAATTTGTGTTTACCCAATTTAATATTAAACCAATATAATTAATTCTTGAGGATCAGATTATAATAATTTTAATTAATTTATAATCTTTTTTGTCATATAATAAAATTTTTATGTTGTTTTAATTGATGATCATCTTTATTCCATTATGCAGTTTTTGCAACTTGGAAGATTTATTATGTAAACTGTAGACAAGCGTTAATAATTTCAGTCATCTGTTGTTATGATGATTTCTTATGATTACATCTTTTGTTGCTGAGTATCGTACGAAGTTTCTGGAGTTATTACAGTTTTCATTAAAACGGTCAAAGCAAAGTTCAGTTCAAGAAATATTTCTTTTCATAATCTTGAGTAATATTTACTTTAAAATATAATATTTTAAATTATTTTTTATTTTTCACATATAAACCGGTTTATATTTTATTATATAGGAACATATGTGCATTCAAAAATATTGCAAGAAATAAATAATTCGTAACGTTTCAAAAGCGCATTGCAATTGTATACCTTTTGCAAAGATGTGTATCAAATGTACATTTATATACGTTTGTGTGTCGGGATCATTAAATCCCTTTCAGGCTGTAACGGAGCAAAAAAAAATATAGAAGCAAGCGAGAGCAAACAATAAAGACTGTATAATATCAGGCATGTAACAAGCACACCTGTTCCCTCTCTCGACGATTATTTATTTCATCTATTAATCATTGCGATTAATAATATCCAGACGTGCATTTAACGAAGCACAAATAAGCTAATTAATCTTAGTTAAGTCGAGCTGGTAGAATCTGACAGATTATTATGAAATATATATTTTTGAAATACAGCTCCCCTCGTTCCGCGCGTCTCCTACCTATAATACTAATTGCTGAGGGTGCAATTCATTTACGGGTTTCACTTTCGAATATCACCTCCCCCCGCTGTCTGCACGCATATTTTATTCTGAATTTCTGGTTTTACTAATTCTGAAAAATCATCATCATAAATATGTGATTTTTGACATGTTGTAATAGTTATTAAATAGTATATTCAACATTTGACATGAAATAAATGTATTATACTTTTTTTTATATTAATTGCTAAAATTGGGATCTTATTTATTATTATAAGTTATAAATCATTTCCAGTTTAATTTAATTATATTCTTTAAACGATCGAAAATATAATCTACTACAACTAAATAATTTAATTATTTATTTAAAAAAAAAAATTGTGAATATTGGTTTTCAATTAAATTAATAAATTTTTGTATCATGACATATATTAAAATAAATACAGCAAAAAATCGAGGTTGCACAAACCAAGGTCTTAATGTTTGCATGAAGACTGACTATTGGAAAATATGTATATTGTGTATTATATATATATATCACTTTAACATATAGCAAAGCGTAGTCTTACAGTATTTCTATTTCATTGGATGATGACTTACAATTGGAATGAATGTACATTGTGTAGTTTAATTTACAGTTTCAAGGCTTCAAGGCGTTATTTGAAAATACACTAAATAAGGTCTTACTGTATACCTATTTGTTAGCTAAAGTCTTACTACTGGAGTATTTGTATATTGACGATGTATTCCTATCTGCGGAACATATATTAATGAGTTTGGTCTTGACATGCTCGGTAAATGTTGACATCCAATTCACATCTGGAGAATTCTAATATCAAATATTACATGTGTACCGATACATAAATTAAACTGGTCGTACATGATTGATTCCAAAATAGAATATGTAGTTCTTTTTTTCATCAGTATATTATATAAATTTGTTGTAATTTACTTGAAACTAATTTGAATCATAACAATTAATAATTATATTTTAAACTAGTAAACATGTAATTCTTTAAGCTTCGAAATTACTTCACAAATTTTACGTAGCTTTATCGAATAATTTTAATAATATGTTATTTATTCCATATTAATTTTTTAAATATAGAAAATGAAATATAATATTTGTAATTATTTTTATTATTTGTTCAATCTCAAGTTACTCAAAAAACATTTTTCTTCTTGTATTATTTATTTTGTTTTATATTTTATGTTTTTATTTATATAAAGTTGTTTCTTCCTTTGCAAGTTTTATATTGTTTGTAAAAAAATTATTGTGCATGGCTATTAAATTATTATTGAAAAATTAATCTTAATTTATTTAACAAAAAATATATTTGTATGAAAAGAAACGATATTATAATGGATAATATAAAATATTTTTAAAACCTACTGTTTTGTGTCTAAATTTAGTTGAATACTTATACTGTCCATTTTAATGTTGTCACAAGCTAATTTATGTTTATATTTAATTATTCAAGACTAATGATTATAGATGTTAATCCCTTGTTAATAAATGTTTATCACGCAAAGGAAAATTTTGCATGACATATTGCATCCAACCTATGCTTAATATGAGACATAAATATGTTTCAAGTATATCAATTATAATTTAGTAAAACTTCGATTGACAAACATAAATCGTTCCTAAATACTATTCGAAAATCGAAACTAGATTATACTTGTCGAACATTATACAGTTCCATTTTTCTGTTCGGGAACAGAAATTATGTTCAGAAACTGATGTATTATCTGCAATGGCGTCGCTACGTTCGGTCAATCGGGCGAATGCTCGGGGCCCCATGAAATTTGGGAACCCCAAACAGTATTAGTCACCCCCTCATTTTTTTTTAAGTTGCCCCCCATTTATGTTTATTCCCGGGGTTTCAAAATCCAGAGGTTATCTGCTCGAGAATCAAGGTTCCACCGTATACACATTGGAGCAACGTATACCACAGACATTATTATATAAATAATTGAATAATTGAATATTATAAGAAAAATATGTAATATCAAGTGTATAAAGAAGGTAAGCCAAGAAGTTAAATATGTACAAAACGCTTATTATAAAACATATTTACATCATAAATCATTTGAAAAAAAATCATTGTTAAAATATTTTTATTAACAATATCTATATACATATTGAGGGTGGTTAAGAAAGCTGCAATAGAAAATTTGATAATACACAATCGAAAGTATTTAATCGATTGATCGATGATGATTGTTATTTATAAGCCGTCCGCCACCTGTTATATTGAAGACAGTTTCTTTCCGAGGCGAAGCATAAATCATTCAGACGTTTTTGCACAGCTCTCGTCCGCCGTTAATAGGGGGAAATCCCTGTGGAGGCGGCGTGGGTAAGGATGCGAGCAGACAGGATCGGCATCGGTCTGTTTTGTTTGGTGGTTGCCTTGTGCTGAGCAAGCATCAAATAATGCATCGGTGGTCTGTTGTAGATTTCAATTGTTTCTAACTTCACGAACAAACTGCGAGTATCAGCAGTTCACAGCTCTGTATATACGTATAGCATCTATATAGATGTATACATATATGTGCAACCCTTATCCCCGGAACATTTTTCCCCGAATATCTAAAGCACGTGTTCGGACCCCCAATTGGGAATGATAACAAAAATAAAAACACAGATATTAATTCATAAATCACGCAATATGCCAACGTCCGTAGATTTTTTTGTATATATATGCTTTTATTTTTGCACGTCTAAATATTATTTATCGAATTCTAGATTTAAAACAGTTCGGTATATATTTATATTTATTGCCCAATCATTGTAGAACGTGCGCTATTTTTTTTATTATATCAATTAGTATTGATGTATCTATGCGTTCGGGATTTGCC